TTTTATCGCTTCTTATCTCGTTGGTTGATAAATAGGTGATCCCCGGGGAATGGACATGACACATCTTCTATATCTAATTAGCTAGACCCCATTAATATATTTCTCTCATCATGCAAGCATGACACCTCATTAAGCAACATGCATTAGAAAATGCCCACCTCAACATTCAATGTGTCATATGAAAAGGTCCACTGCAACATGCAAACATGCATGATATATTTAATAGATATTTGACAAAAATATAATAATCAAACACAATAAACCATATATTATTTTTAGTTTTAGCTATCATATTATTTCTTTGAATATTCTTATTCCATAAAACCATATACTTTGCAATATATTGCAAATATCCCCGCAATAACGTGCGGGTTATCATCTAGTTAACTAAATGGGTTGGCCCACCGCTCGTATGGCATTTAAGGGCCATGGGCCTTTTCTCCATATTCTGGCTAAAAGGGTCAAAACTGGCCAAAATAAAGATCCCCTGCATAAACCGGCAGCACGCCCTGCTCTCCTCCCCACCCCCTCCCCACTGTGGGCTGCTGTGTGTCGCTGGCTGGATGTATGTGAATTTTAAAAAAAATCATGAATTTGAAAAACATTCATGAAAAATTGAAAACAAACTTCAAAAATTTGAAAATTATTCATGAATTTTAATACATTTCTTGAATTTTAAAAATTTCAAGAATTGAAAAATGTTCAGGAATTGAAAAAATTCGTAAATATAAAAAATAATTCGCGAATTCAAAGAAATCAAAATTTGAAAAAATATTCATGAATTATAAAAAATGTTCACAAATTGACAAAAATGTACACAAAATTGAAAATTGTCTACAAATTATAAAACATTCATGAACTTGAAAATAAGATTTGCTAAATATTTTTAAAACATTCACAAATTTGAAATGTGTTCTTGAACTAAAAATATTCAAAACTTGAAATTTATTTTATAATTTCGAAAAAGTTTCACAAATTGAAGTTTTTTCAAAAAAAAATGATTTTTGATGAATTTAAATAATTTGAAAGAAGTTTATGAATTCTAAAAAATGTAACAAATATGATAAGAAGTTTGAAAATGTATAAAACAGTCACTATTTCAAATATTATTTTTGTATCTAAATTGACCACAATTTTGAAATTATTTATGATTTTAAAAATTATGTTAAATTAAAAAATAAAAAAGCAGAAAGAAAACCGGTTAAAATAACAAAGAACAATTGAAAACCAGAAAAACTGACATGGAAGGTTCCTAAAAACCATAGCGAACGCTTTCATGCTTTAGTGGGTTGGCCCACCTTGTTCGCTAGCGCGGACCACAATATAAGCGATAGATATCATTTGTGTCCACCCCCTGGCCTGCGCTTCCCCTATTAAAATGGTTGTGTTGTGCCTAGCAAGCGGGCCTTGCCCAGGTGAACGAGCATGATGCACGGCGTGCCTTGGGCAAGACATGACCCCTTTAGTCCACAATGCCGGACACACATGCTACCGCCTAACCGACCCGCGATACTCGGCCTAGATGGTCAAGTCTGTGTTTGGAGGGGGGGAGGGGGCTACGTGTCCATCACATCAGTGCGAACAGTCCAGACACACATTTCTTCCCCTCACACAAGGGCATCTCCAAGGGTAAAACTCAAACCAAAAACCTTAAATGTTTGTCCGCGGATAGCCAGGCGGGCAAGGGTCCTCCAAAACCATCACCTATAAATCTCTTAGTTATAAACCACATGTCAGATGTGGTCATCTACAAATTTATCCCTCAAAACAATCTCTTAGTTGCCCTTGGACGGGGTTATTTGGTTTTTAACCATACCTTGCCACATTTTTCCCGTACCTCATCACAAATTTGATCAAGTTAGTTGAGTGTTTGGTTGTACCCATACCTGACAAGATTCTTTATTTAGAAATAAACCCCACAGTCATATACACAAAAGTGCAGCAAAATTCTTGTAAGCAAATCTAAGGTGTGGCTAATAATTTGAGCACCTAAGAAGGCAAGTTTAATTAAAAGTGTACCAAACTATGGTAAAATTACAATAATGTTAGACCTACAAAGATCTACAAACATATTATTTAACTTTTCAAACTACCCCCTCCCCCCTAAATTCAACTGGGGTGGGCCCCTTCACCCTCCTATTACTAATCACAATTCTCCACATTAGCTTGCCTGTAAAAAATTATTTCTCACAAAATCACAAAAGACAAGCACAGTGCAACATGGTTTAGAAACCACAAACTAATTAAGATCAATAATAATAAGCAAAGATCCACTACATGGGTGGGTTCGTAACCATGTGCACCCATTACTACTCCCCACTAATGCTGTCTAATACAATTCTGAAATAATTCTAGCTTAGGCATAACAAGATTTTTTTTAACGGAAAGCGGAGTACCTGGCCTATGCATCACATGATGCACACATTATTATTGGCATATACGTAATAAGATAGAAACAGTAATCTTCATATGTACCTCCTTTTCTCAAGAGCATGTCTGATTTTGTCGATGATCTCCTTTTCAGACCACGTTTCAGTGTTTCCGTAGTGTTTTTGGCTTTCTTGACGACGTACTCTGCAGAGGTTAAAATAATTTTAGGCCTGGGAATTTATTGAACTTGTTGTATGACTTGATATAGCAGGTGTATTTCCAAAATAACTAACAGTAATAAGCATGTAATCGAGGCACCTCTTATTCTTATCATTGTCCTCCTCGTCATCTTTGATTTTGCTGGTGACCTGACGAAGTATGCTGCTGAGGATATTCTTCATGTTAGGCTGAAGAGAAACCGAAACAAAAGCTGTGCATCCGAATTTGCCTTGAAGCTTTTGATACACCGCATTGGCAAGGGTGGTTTTGCCCATTCCGCCAGGGCCAACGATGGAGACCAACCTGAGCTTCTGCTCCGATGCACCTTCACCTTGGCCTTCCATGGACAGCAACTTGATAATCTCTTCTCTGGAGTGGTCAATGCCAACAAGCTTTGCTTCATCTTCGTACAGTGCTAGCAAGCGGGGGTCGGACGCGGACGGGGCTGCGGCCACTATACTGTCAACTTTGTACCTCTCACGACGCTTGCTCACCTCCTCAACCTCCTTCTTTATGCGCTCGATCTCGGCGGCGATGTCGCCCCGAGCCTTGTACGTCCGTGGCAGCAAGGATTTGGCCCCCACGCAGCAGCACGTCGTGGAGGATCCAGAACCGGACTGGCCGCCAGCAGCAGCATCGACGAGCACCATGAAGGAATCGATGGTGTCCTCGATGTTGTAGGACATCTTTCTCACCTTGGTTGCCCACAGCTTGACCTGCTTGTCAAGCAGATCTGGTGGCACCTCGGCCACCTTCGCAAGGGCAGCTTCCATGCTCTCCAGCTCATCCCGGATGTACTGGACCCCTTCCTTGGCGCCCTTGTGCAACTTGTATTCGTCGGTGAGCATCTTGGCCAGCTTGGGGAGGAGGGCCTCTAGCATCCCCGCGGAGGCACTCACCACCACCTCCATCTCGCCACCAACCTTCTTTCCTCTCCGGTTGGATGTACACTGCCTGTGTTTGTGGTGTCTAATGCTTTGTGCTACAACTGAGCATATGGAGAAGGGATATAAAGGGGAAAGTGGGGCTTAGGGCCCCTCAAACCGCCTGCAACCATTGGAACCGTGCGGTTCGAACGTGTTTGCCATCCAATGCGGTTCTTTGTCGTTCTGCCGACCAGTCCGAACACACTTTTTTCCTCAAAAAATGAGCATATGGAAGGGATATAAAGGGGAAAGGAGGGTTTCGGGCATCTCGGGCCCCGACCCTAAAACCACCCGCAACCGTTTTCACTGTGCGGTCCGGACGTGTTTTGCCATCCAACATGGACCTGTATCGGTCCGCCGAATGGTCCGGACGCATTTCCCCCTACAAACCGAGACAAATTGGGGGGAGGGCTTTGCGAGCGTCAGGACCGCTGCCACGTTCGCGTCTGACTGCCCTGGCCCAACCAAAAACACACCCGCCTCTACCGCGTTTTACATCCAACACCGGCGCCGCTTGCCGCATCGCATTCATGCCGGCCTAGAGCATGCAGCGGCTGACATTGATGCCGAGCGACACGGCCAGACATGAGGGCGTCGCTGATGGACGTGACCTCTCGGGCGTCGCCGCTTCAATGCGAACGCCGCGTCCCGAGAAACCAACTCTGACCGCTGCGTTGCATTGAAGTGGGCCGACCGCGCCCTTCGCATGGCCTGACCGCGGCAATTTAAGCCCTGCGTCAATGATACACATCCCCACTTCGTCCTCTCCAAGCCCCTCCAACTCTAGGGGCGATGCCGAAGTCGTGGTTCTCCGCGCTGGCATGCGGTGGCAGTAATAGTTCATCATCAGGCGGATCTTGGTGTCGCCGCTCTCGCTCTCCAGGCCCCTCGGCATCCACGGCGGCCGGCTCCTCCGGCAAGGAGGAGATCGTCATCTCCTCCAGCAACAAGGAGGACCAGAAGCCGCAGTAGCGGCCACGCCTCCTCACGGAGGCGGCTCTGACGGAAGAATTCGTCCGTCAAATGGAGATCATACCGGAGCGGTTGCTCCGTCAGATGGGCTCAATGCCACCGTCGCCGGTGCGAGTGAAGGAGGAGCCACCGTCCCCGCCATTCTTCTACGTGAAGCGGGGGCTGGCGTCCCCACTCTGGAGGTTCAGGGAGGAACCCGCCCCCTCCCACAACCACGACGCCGTCCATATCAGGCGCCGCATCCAAGTGGAGCAGGTGTCGCCCCCCGTCGAGCAACCGTGGCGTCCAGATCGGACGGCGCGTCAAGGACGAGCCTATGTTGCCGCCAACACACATCTGGTATGCCCGCATTGACGGGCCCCTGTCATCGCGCCGCCGCAACCACCACCCCATCAAGGAGGTGCTGCTGCCCGCGATCACGAAGGCGCAGGCCGCATCCTCCACTACCTCGGAGACGGTGGTGTCGGCCATCCCTCGGTCTCGAGGGCCGTCGTCCCTGAGGAGGAGTGCGTGGTGAGGCAGCGGCGCGGTACGACCAGCGTAACGCCGACCGCTGCTTGGCGTTTGCCAAGTCCAACGTGGTGCCGTAATGGCTCCAAAATGACCTGGACCTCACCGCCGCGTGGGCCCTCGACCGCCGCATGGGCCCTCGACTGCTCCATCACCACTACGGAGACGACGGCTAGGCACCACCGCCGCCTTGACGGTGAACTTGCGAGGATCAGCGAGGAGCAGTCACTTAGCGACTGCTCGGCCAATGCTGGCAGGAGCACGGCCGCCACCAGGGCTCTGCCTGCACCGGCGACATTGGCCTCGGCGGCCCTTCGCAGCGCACAACAGGAGGTGGAGCGGCTCCTCCACGAGCAGCAGTCAACCGCGGCCCTGTGGCGCCCTTCCGGCGCTGGATGAACCACGATGACGGTACGAACGACGATTGTGGTGCGACAGGGCAGCGCGGCCACGCGTACGAGGTGGTCGTCGTCTGGTATAGGGTTTATGTTTTTTCTTCCTTTTCTTATTTAGTTAAAAGCTCAAAATATCGATCTTTTATGTAAATTATGTCCGAACTTTTATGAATTTAGTTGGGTTTGATGAATTTTGTCTGGTTTGTTAAAATCTGAGTTGAAACGTATGCGAATAGTGTTGGATGGCTAGCTCCTGCATCCATGTCAATGGACTGACCCATCCTTTTTATGAACAGATGCGAGAGTGAATTTGCAGGTTAGCGTTGGAGATGGCCTTAGTTTGCTACATTATACTAGCAAAATTCAGACATCATCAAACAGTACTACACTATGCTTGCAAAATTCAGACATCATCAAACAGTACTCCTACTATGCAAGACTACGGGTCAGTGTGATGAGCTGGGGCTTGGGATGGGAGTAATAACAGAGTAGAGTAGTTTATCTGTCTATTTCATACTAGAAGTTTTATTATGACACTGACTTCATAGACTGAATCACCATTTGCTGTGAAGAGCGTCATCGATTGGATTGGAGCCACCATGATTGAGTTCGCCAAGCAGCGGTGGCGTACAAGAGGGAGGGTAGGGGGCTATTTTGATCGTGACTATATTTTCCTTGTGTTCTCACATTATTTTTGTCACAATTGTCACATTTACTTAACTTTAGTTGCTTAAATTGTTAGCCACACTTTGGCTTGCCTAAAGGATTTTTGTCACACTTTTTGTGTCTATAACATATGAGGTTTACTGCTCATAAAAAAATATTGCCTTAGGTGTGGCTAGAAATAAACACCCACCTAACTTGAACAAACTTGGCTAAAGTCAGGTATGGCAAAGTGTGGTAATATGTGGCTGAAACCAAACAGCCCTTATGTGTGGAGACAGCTACTTCACTGAATGCTCCATCCGTCCGGTGAAGAGTGTGATTGTGGGCCGAGGTTCGTCACGCATGATGTGGCGCAGCTCGCGTCATATCATCCCTCAAATGTGTAAGCAGCTGCAGCACGTCAGCCGGAGATAAATTGAGTTAAGAACCAGCCGAGTTAACACGGTAGCTTTGTACCTCACACTGCAAAGTATAGCTTTCTAAATGTAAGTCTTTGTAAAGATTCCACTATAAACCGTATATAGATATATATAGATGCATTTTAAGTTTAGATTCATCCGTTTTGTTTTGTATGTAGTCCATCTAATAAAATTTCTACAAAGACTTATATTTAAGAACAGACGGAGTAGTACGATGGAGTTGGTGTGAGGAATTGAAGAAGATGCGGTGCAGGTGCATGGTGCTTGACTTGACTTTAGGCACACTGCATTTTAATAGCCCATGTCAGTAAAGACATGTGGGTTTAACTAGTCTAGTTTTCCTTTATTTGCATTTATATTTTTTTCTATTGGAACAATTGTGTGGATGGACGTAGTGGTGGAGCTTGAAGAAAAATGTTGGACGGGCCGGGCCTAAAGAGGAGCTCATTTTTAAAAAAATTCTGAATCATAAGCACATGTTTTAAGATGGAGCGGACGGATATGTATACCTGCGTTGCAATTTGCACAAGATCAATGGGTTAGTTAGAGCAATTCCAACGCAGGGACCCAAATGAACATGGATTTTGTCCCTTTTTTTCGTTTGGGTCGCTCGTCCGCCTAGCGGACACGCGAGGACGGTGGATACACCATATTATAAAGACATGCGGCGGACCCATTTGTCGCCTCTGCGGCTGGTTCCTACGGCCAAAACACGAAAAAAAATCCCCAAATCAGCGCCAAACAAACCGACTGGGAAATTCTCAAAGCAGCAGGGGAAGGGGCCGCCGATGTGCTTCGGACAGCATGCTGTTGCAGAGCCGCCACCGGCGAAGCAAGCGCCCGTGCAGCTCGAGCAGGAAGCAGCGTGGCTAGAGCGGCCGGGCGTGGCCCGGAGCGCGGCCAAAAGCTCAAGAGCGGGCGCAGCCAGGAGCGCGGCCGGGCGCTCGAGAGCAGGCGCAGCTAGGCGTGGTCGAGCGCGGCCAGGAGCGCCCAGGAGTGCGGCCGGGCAAGTGCGAGGGAGGCAAGGGGCGAGGGGCAGGCCGGGCCGGTCTAGAGCACGGCCAGAAGCCCGAGAGCGGGCGCGCAGCAGGGCGAGTGCGGGGGAGGCGAGGCGTGGGGGCAGGCCGGGCGCGGCCCAGAGCGCGGCCAAAAGCCCGAGAGCGTGCGCGGACAGGAGCGCCCAGGAGCGCTGCAGGGCGAGCGCGGGGGAGGCGCGGCGTGGGGGCAGAGGTGTTGGGGAATGCGGCAATTTCAAAAAAATTCCGACGATCACGCAAGATCTATATAGGTGATGCATAGCAACGATATGGGAGCGTGTGTCCACGTACCCTCGTAGACCGAAAGCGGAAGCCTTTAGTTAACACGGCTGATGTAGTAGAACTTCGCAATCCAACCGATCAAGTACCGAACGCACGGCACCTCCGCGATCTGCACACGTTCAGCTCGGTGACGTCCCTCAAACTCTAGATCCAGCTGAGGCCGAGGAAGAGTTCCGTCAGTATGACGGCCTGGTGACGGTGATGATGAAGTTACCGGCGCAGGGCTTCGCCTAAGCACTACGACGATATGACCGAGGTGGAAAGCTGTGGAGGGGGGCACCGCACACGGCTAAAGATCAACTTGTGTGTCAATGGAGTGCCCCCATCCCCCGTATATAAAGGAGGAGAGGAGGGGGCCGGCCGGCCACAAGGGGCGCGCCCAAGGGGGGGAGTCCTACTCCAAGTAGGAGTAGGTTCCCCCCTTTCCTAGTCCAATTAGGAGGAGAAGGAAGGAGAGGCAGAGGGAGAGGGAAAGAGGGGCCATGCCCCCCTCCCCTTGTCCTATTCGGACTCCCCTTGGGGGGGGGGGCGCCACCTCCTGGTGCGGCCCTCTCTCTCCCCTATAGGCCCACTAAGGCCCATTACTTCCCGGGGGGTTCCGGTAACCCGCCGGCACTCCGGTTTTATCCGAAACTATCCGGAACACTTCCGGTGTTCGAACAATATGATCCAATGTATCAATTCTTATGTCTCGACCATTTTGA